CCGCTCCGCCGTAAGGGTAGGCGCCTCCAACCAAACAGCCAAGGCCGTATTCTCCGTCCTGGAGGCGCGAGGCGGGCCCCATGCAGCCGCCCTGGTCTGGGCTGTTGAGGATCTGGTCGATGCCGAAGCTGATGGGCTCCGCGTGGCCCGGGTGGAGATGGTGTGGACCCAGGTGCTCCATGCTGGCCCCCGACCCGGCCCCGCGAAGGGGGGGGCCTGGGCGGTGGCGCTTGCTGTGCTTGGTTTGGGGGCAGCGCTCAGGGGCGCGGAGGCGGCAGCGGCTCCTGGCTGCGCAGACTTGAAGGCGAAGTGCGCAGAAAGGCTAAAGTAGGGGGGAGGGGAAGGAGAGAAGGGGCACCGTATTCTTCCCCTCTCCGACTACTCCTTCCCCTCTCCGGCTGCTCTCGCTCACTGTTGACTCTGGGACATCAATCACCGGGCGAAAAAGCCCGGTGCGAGAGAGCCTCGCCGTTTCGGCCGGGTCTCTCCATTGGCTGTGCGCGGAAAGGAACGGGGTGAATGACAGCGCGGGGGAGGGGCGGAAAAGAGGAGACGGAGGCCGGGAGGCGAGACAGATGTAGGAGCCAGAGTCAGAGGGACTGACGACCGAGGCTCAGAGAAGTATTTCAGGAAGAGAGAGAAGAGGCAAACCAGAGACTTAAAAGGAGAAAGAAAACGAATAGGACACCGCCATTCCCAAGACCAATAGACAGATGGACCCAAGAGGCTGGAGGTCAGAGTCCTCTTCCCAGCCTGGCAGGAGCCCCTCACTTAGAATTGAGCCAAACGAGCCAGCCCATCAGGCCTCTGAGAAAGGGGTATCCCTGTGCTACTGGAAAATCTCCCCAAGGGCTCAGCTGGGAAGCACCTGTCTGTCAACCAGAGGATTTACTCTAAACTTCAAGTCCGGCTTATTAGAAAGTAGAAGACTATTCCCTGGGTATGGAGCCCAGGCCTCTCAGGCAGGAAGGTGAGTTCAGGCTTGTCCTTTAAAACACAGGCTTATGAACAGCTGGCTATATGTTGTTGAAAAAGGCAGCAACCACCCCACCTCAGCCTGTTTAGAGAAACTGAGGGAGGGAAGACTTCCTAAAAGGCAGGGACAAGTCATGGGAATTGGCTTAGGGCCTGCTGCCAGGGGGTGCCCATGCCTCAAGATGCCCCCTTTTCTTATAAATAAACAGAAGCCTCAAGAAGCAGTTCCCACAGTATATGAATGAATTCAACCAGATTGCTTTCACCTAGCAAGTAGCCCAGGACTGGCTATTCCAAGCAAGAAAACTTTGAACTGTAGTGAGGGGAAGGGGTTATTTCCTTACTTTTGGAATCTTGGGAGGGAGGCCTAGGGGCTTAAGTTGGTGGGGGCTGGGGCTGGTGGGACCAAGATCGGGGAAATGCATCTAGGACAAATCTAGGCCCTTTCAAAGTTTTGCCTGTGGCTCCCTGGCTTAGAGCCCAGGAGAGAAGAAGGAAACTCCCTTTTTCTGCTTCCTCTCTTTTCCCTCTCTAGTAGAGAAAGGTCCGCTCCCTCCCAGGAGCCAAGCCCTGGGAAGGGCCCAGGTTGGATCACTTGGAATCTATTTCTGGTCTATTTCAGATTCAACAGGTCTTCAGGGAGGGGCTGTCTCCATCAGGTAAGATGCTAGAATATGAAGGCTCACATTCTTCTTAACAAGTCTCATTGCAATCTATTTGCTTTGCGTCTGTTACTTCCACCTGAAGAGATCTCCTTGGAGGCAGGGAATGGCTTACTCATCTATATTCCCCACTGTGGAGAACAGCCCCAACCCACAAAAGATATTCATCTTGGGTAAATAATGAATGAAAGAATCTCCTTATTCAACAGATATTTTATTGAGTACCTACTATGTGTCAGTCACTGTTCTTGGCATTGGGAAAACAGCAGTGAACAAAACAAAGTTCCTGTCCTCATGGAGCTTAGATTCTATAGAGAGGGTCTGACAATAAACAAAGAAGCAAATATAATAAGCCAGATGGTAGTAAATGTTATGGAAAACACCATAAACTCTACACGAACCCTTCAAGATGAGTATTATCCCTATTTTATGGATGCAAGGAAACCAAATTTCACAGAGACTAAGTGACTTGATCAAGATGGAGGAGTTGGATTCGACCTACTTTTATGGGTTGGCCTGGAAGCCTGGCTGCTGGTTGGAAGCACATCTCTATGGGGAAAACCTTGCCTGGGCTCCAGGCAGGTAGAAAACGGCCCACTCAAAACAAAGCCAGATGTGGAGTTGGTGGCTGTAAACACTAAGCAGAAACATGAGCAAGATCTCTAGTCCCTTGTCAGTTCTCTCCTCTCTACCTACCCAGTTGGAGGGCACTATACCTCTACCCAGGAGGTTCCAGAACTTTCTTTGGAAGATGTTTGAGCCTGAATGAGTCTCTTTCCTGCCTTTTAACTTGAGGGAACTATAGCAGAGATAAATATAAATGTTTTACTGAGAAATTATTATGTGCCAGGCACCACACCACATTGATCTCATTTAAGATGCACAGTAACCCTGTGAAGTTAACAGAAACATCCCCATTTTTAAATAATTAAGAAAACAGAATGAATGTTTATGGCAGTATTATTCATAATGGACAAAAAGTGAAAAGAACTCCGATGTCCATCATCGGATGAATGGATAAATAAAACGTGTATTCAAACAATGGAATATTATTCAGCCAAAAAAAAGAATCAAAAGGAAGTCCTAGTCATGCTACAACATGGAAGAATCTAGAAAACATGTTAAGTGAAAGAAGCCAGGCACAAAAGGCCACATGCCATATGATTCCATTTATATGAACCATCCAGAAGAGGCAAATGCATAGAGACAAAAAGTAGATAAGTGGTTGCCAGGAGCTGGAGGTAGCGAGGAGTATGAAATAGCTACAAATGCACATAAAGTTTCTATTTGGAATGATGAAAATATTCAGGAATTAGTGGTGATGGTCGCACAACTTTATGAATATACTAAAAAAAACAAACCCCCACTGGATTGTTGAGTTAAAAGGCTGAATATTGTGGTACATGTATTATATCTCATGTTTTAAAAATAGAAAACAAAAACTGAGACTTGGTGAGATGAACAAACCTGCTCAAAGTCCCACATACAGAAGAGGATTGTTCAGGGACCCCCTAGATCTGAACTATTTTCTCTGTATAAGGCTGAAAACTATGGGGAGGGGCGCTTCAGTTCCCTTTGAGGCTTGGTCCCTGTTGCCTTCCCTCCTTTTAGTCAAGAAATCACATTTCAAGCCTAATCCCAGTTCCGCCTGCTGCAATTAAAACCCTATCTATCTAGTTACCCTCAACTACCCTTTGCCACTCTCTGGCCCATGCAGGAAGCCCATTGAAGGCTCCTAACACTCTTCTTCCCCCTTTCTTCTCCCTCCAGGTGCACCTTCCCAGCCCCTATGGCTTTCCAACCAAGCCTATTCCAACCCTTTGTGCACCTGCCTCACTCATCTCCTCAGGTCTACACCAGTTGTCCAGGGTACGTGGGAGGAGACCTCACCCTTGCTGGCCCAGCCTAAGGGCGGCAAATCCTGCCTAGTGGCCCCATAAGACTTTCAGGGTGCTCTTCTTCTCAAAACCCAACAACCCAGGGATATCCTAACTTGCCCCTGCCCTCACAGCGGCCTGCCTGCCTGCTTAATCTCTTCCGTGCTTCCCACCCACCTCTCCTGCTTATCTGAGTCAACTTTTATCCCAATCTAGTTCTGAGGTGCTGCCTTCCCCGCAGCTGGAGTTCTTTGAGTCCATTTTAACCTTTATCTTTCACTAGGATAGTTGCTGAGGGGCCAGGGTTACCCTCTCAGTCCCTTCTCTGCCAAGGAAGATGAGACAAAAGGGTGAGGATTCATCGGGCTCTGGCCCCCCCCTCCCGGAAGTAGTGACACCTGAGCACAGCGCTGCAGGTTGGAAAGCTTTCTGAAGTGGGGGAGGAGACTCACAAAAAGCTTATATTCTGTGCAGCTTCTGTTTCCACAGCACTTTTCCATGCTTTGCCGAGTTAGAAAGGGAGGGGGGTGTTAGGAAGCAGGGCCCACAAAGCACCAGTGATGTCCTAGGCACCTTCAGTCACAGCAGTTATCTCATCTCATCTTCCAATAATCCTGTGGTGTGGCTTTTGTTATCTCCATTCTACAGATGAGGAAACTGAGGCACTGAAAGCTGGAAACAGGACAGAGACAGGGCTCAAATGCTGCTTTTCTGACTCCATTCATTTTAAGCTGCCTCCTCAACACCAGACTTGGCAGACGTGGTCCTTGCCCTGCAGGGATATCTTGCACATGTCTAGGTGAGTTTGAGCCCTGAGGCCACCTGGTAACACCACCCCCAACCCCAGCGCCATCCCAGCCCCCCTCCCCTTGCCTGCAGAATAAAGAAGTACCTCCAATTAAAAGAGGAGCAGCTGGGGCTGAGGCTGGGGCAGGGGGAGGAGTAAAGGGAGGGCTCAGCCACAGGGGGAGACCCTTTGGATCCCATCCGGCTCCCTCCACGCTCTGGGAGAGACCCCTGGGCCAGGGGTTGTCCTTTAGCTTAGGAGTGTGCGTGATAACTTAATTACTTTGTGTTTGTGGGACTGTGCATCCACGAGGGGAAAGCCAGATGTGAAAGTGCATGACAGTGAGGGAAGCTGTGCAAGATAGACTGGTTATGTCTTTGAGGACTAATTTTGCTAATTTATCCAACAAATATATATTGTCTATTATGTATCAGTGTTAGACTGTTGGGATATAACTGCAAGCAAAACACATGTCAGTAAGGGTGTTAGAAAAGAGGAAGGAAGTCTGGGTCATTTTTACAACTGGATTTGTCAGTGTAAAGATCTATGTCAGTGAGAATGCGAGAGTATGTGTGTTTTCTTTATCGGGAGAAGAGTGTGTGTTTCTGTAACAGTTCCTCTATAATGGGCACATATGATAGCGTGAGAGTTTCCTTCAGCTACTCTGTGACAGTGTGAGTGTAATAATGATGTATGCTGTTGATGGTTTGTGTGCATTTGTAGGAGGGGTTTCTTATTTTCTAGTGTAATTGTCAGGGAAATAGCCATGTGTGAGCCTGTGGGTGAGGGTATGGGAAGGGGGAGACAGGGTATGCCCAATAGTTACTTCAAAGGGAAAGGATGGAACAGACTGAGAAATACATAAGGGAGCATGTAACACAAAGCAGTCCATGGTGAGACCTTTGGGGTCTGGATCCCCAGTACCAAAAGAGTCCCTTCTGCCTTGCTCATTTCCTCAGGAAAGGAGCAGAAAATGTTGCCTTCCATAGGAAGAGACAGGTGAAGCTGGTGACTCAGGGACTTAGAGATCTGGCAAAGGGTACTCCAATTCTGAGGAACCTGGGGTTGAGGGGGTTAGTGCAGGCGGTGTTTGTCTCTAGGAACCTAGAATGGGGAAGGAGGGAGTGAGCAGGTCAGGCTGGTTCCAGCCACACAAACCAATGATTCTTCAGGGTCACAGTGGGGTTGTCC